GGTGGCCCCTGTTTACTTGATCTAGCGCAGCTTGGAATGTGAGAACTGTTTTGGAAGAAATTCCTGATACCACTGAAACCTCTCTGGGGGTTGGAATAAATGGAAAGGCACATAAGTTGAAGGACACAAATGAAAGTATCCAGATAGGTTTGCAGTACAGCAGAATCAGGAACCAACCTCCGATATGCCTGTGGGAGCCCTTGCCTCTTTATCTAGAAGAGAAGCTTAGTTTCTGAAGGAACTCACTTGCCCCTGTTCATTTCCAAGAAGCCCACTTCTATCTGGGACACCGTCGCTGCCCTAAGCCTCTTTGGCTACTCTGGAAGGACAGTGTCTCCTGTAAGATCTCACTTGGGCTTTTAGGAAGACCATGTGATCCGGTATGCATCAAGAGTCCCATAATCAAAGCCTGGGCCTTCTTTCCTTACAACATATTGTGGCAACCCACTGTATTTTCTCTCACATATTCTGTTCCCCACTGCCCCTCAGTTTCTATAAAATTTAAAAATATACCTTAAAATATGATGGATTTTGAGAGTTAATAAAGTGCCTAAAAGTTGTGAATCTCATCTCAGGGAATAGCTGTGAATGTTCTGCTTGGCGCTGGGAGAACTATCCTGGCTACTCAGTATGAATGGTTCTCATTAGAGCTTCCTGCTTCTGTAAAGAAGCGTGTCTTTAATATTCTTTCAATGGCTTTTAATCAGGTTAAGCTTTGATTAAAATCAAAATACAAAAAGTGAATAATATCCTAGGCAATTTGACATGGATAATAGAGAGCCTAAAGAATTATACAGTATATAGTATTTGTTTAGATAAATTCTTAGGTAAAAATCATCAAAATATTTAAATGTTAAGAAAATATCATAATAGGTATCTGAAAAAATGTGTAAGACCAGACCTTTAGAACGATTAGAGGCATCATTTCTTCCCCAAACCAAGTTCCCCATTTAGTTAGTTTGAGCTTTATTCTGGGACTCATCACTTCTTATACTTTAATATGTCTTCATAGCAACCTTTGTCTTCATCTTAATTTTCCATTGGTAAAATTTCTTGGCCCTGCAAAACAGCTCTGATACTTGCTAAAATGGACAGTGAACAGAGGATGTACGGAGCTAGCTCACAAGTGAGGTGCAAGTTCTGTGTGACATGCATTTTGACCATTCAAGGTCGTTAAGGCCTTTTGACTTACTTACCTGCAAGTTCTTGGCTACACTCTAGATAGGTGAAGTATTGCTGCTATCTTTATGAATAATGGATTCATAAGTCTGAGGTGTAAAAGAAATTTAAAGACCAACTGATAACTTTCTAAAAACTGAGTGAGGAAACTCTTTTTGCAGGGCCAAGGGCATTAATGCAGAAAGTTAAAAATAATCAAGGGAGTTTCAGAAATCTCAGACAATTGGGTAATGGGTTATTTAATTCCAGATATCTAATTTTTATGATTTTGGATGAGAAAGAAAATTTTGTTTTATGTATCTACTCTCCCTTTCTGTCTTTTAAAATAGATTAAGTCTTTTAAACATTTATTTTTAAACAATATATTCAGTTCTAATCTTGAAATCATACTGGAAAGGAACATTTTTGTAATAATTGTATCAATGTAAATATAAGCATTTGAAATATATATTTGGCTTCTATAAACTGGACTGATATGTTTACATAAACCATTTGGTACTGTATAAAATTCCTACATTATCTTGAAATCTGAGTTATTCCAGGTGAGCCTGAATAATTTCATATATTTTTTAAACCCAAATATTCATAAGTGTGTGATATGCTAGACCTCTAGACATGTTTATCATTGCTCAGAAAGCTGTGGGATCTGTCTGTCTCACAGGTACTCCCTGCTGTAGACTCATTAGAATATCTCAGAGTTCTTCCCCACACTCACTCAGTAGTGATGCTGCCCCGCTGCAATGCTCCCTTCATGAAGCGTTCTCTCCCTGAATTGTTGAAGCAGGTACCTTCATAATACAGCAAGTTCCTGAATAATTGTTAAGCTTAGGTCACCACGAACCCCCAAAGTCATGGCCGGACTCTGTTTTAGTGTAGTGACACGTAAAAATTCTTAATTACCAACAGTTTTTACCAAAGAAGAATTTTATAGAATACTGTTATGAAAAATTCATCTTGAATACACCTGTGTTTCTGGTTTTATCTACAAGGGGAAGAATGATGCCATTTGTTGAGATGAAGTAGGGCATAGTATTTTTTCTGCTTTGTGTGTGATTAATTTACTAGTTTAGTGGACTGAGATGATAGAGCAACTGGTAAAGTGTCCTCCACAGACACTCCGTACCTAAGCAGAGAGGGGATCTTTACTCAGGTTCATTTTCTTGAGACTACTTTCAGATTTTCTCTTCCAACCCAGTTCATTCTTTCTTGTGCTTTAGAGTCTGCTGAACGCTGGCTTCAGTCTGTTCTTATTTTCTGTGTTTCCTTGGACTTCAGAATTTTCCTTGTCTCTTGGCCCAGGAACGTGATAGTCAGTCATCATGACAGCAGAGCTAGAGACTGACACCTTGGTAAAGAAAAACAGACAGAGACAGGAGAGAGCAAAAGAGCTGCTGAGAATGAAAGATAGATGCAGGCAAAGATTGAAGTGGAAAAGAATCTTTTCAGTCCTACTTTCTGTTCAATTTACATTGATTTTATGAACTTCCAGGAGCCTGAGGTTTGGAATTATTATGTGGAGGTCCATAGAAAAGCCAGCCCCCAAATAAGGGCTAGGACTAGATTTGTCTGCAAAGGTTTAAATGAACCAGAAATCAGAAAGTATGCTAACCGCTGCCATCTCAGGGTTTCTCATCACTAGTCACTCCTAGTCACTCCTTTAGGAATAATAAAAATCCTTTCAGTTAGAGGTGGAATTGTGCCATCAGTCTGTTGTTATTACTCTACAAGGAAGTAACAGAAACTGTTGAAGCATATCCTAAGGAATGAGGCTTGGTTTGAATATTCAGCAAACATTTACCGGGTTATGATCATGTGCTTGGATATGAACTGTAATGGGAGCTACGGAGATAAAAAAACGATAGCTGCCTTCAAATAACTTGATGGTCATAACTCTAAATCCTTAAGTCCTGTATTATGTCTTCTGGCATATAAACCAGGCTTATACTGGAAGAAACTCCATGATGAAACCAAATTATGAAAGAGACCCATAACCCTTTCCTTCCAAATCCCCTCAGAAACTTCATTTCCCTGTATTTCAAGAGCTCATTAAACAAAACAGAAATCAAAAAAAGCCTCATGCACTCCCTTCAACTAAGTTGAAGGAATTTAGTAATGATTAACTATAGTTGGAGGAAACTAGCTTGGACCACCAGAAGATCCCACTAGTTCTTTGGTGAATTGGACAAAAGACAATGTAGCTCAAATTCCTTCCCTCTTCACCCCACCAACCCACATTCTGACTGTATTCATTACGGTCAATAGGAAATGGTTTCTCTACAGGGTGTTCAACCATGTGAATTGTGAAGTAGAGGGAACACTCTTTTGGACACATTTTCTTTCTAATAACTTCTTCAACACCATCTCAGAGACAAGAAAACAAACTTTTTGCCGTTAAAAAAAACCTTTATTTTATTTCATTTATTTATTTTTTACAAAGAATACCCCCCACCTGGGGTGAAAAATATATCTGGTTAAGTACAAAATATAGTTTTTGTCATACAAAAAGATATACAATTAAAAAGCAACAAAAAAATGAAACCACCTTCAGCCCACATACTTTCTCAGGAAAGGGAAGATAGAGCTCAGTGCTCTGACACAGGACCGTGAACAAAGTGCTGAAGCTGAGAGAGACTGAGCCAGTGCTAGAGGCTGCAGTGAGAGAGGGGCTGTCAACATCCCTGTCTCCTAACACTCGGCAGGAAGGGAGCCTTCACAGCTTTTGTGAAGACCTGCCCTCTAGTTTCTCATGGCAACATAAAAAAAAACCAAAAAACAACAACACTGGGGTTTGACACCAGCTTCCCTCTGTCCTATGTCCTAAACCTGAGGGCTGGCCACACCTGCTCCAGTGTCTGGCCACAGTGCCTGTGTGCAACCATAGGCACAGCATCCTTCAAACAGAAGGGGAAGTGAGACAATGGGAGGAGGATGTCTTTAGCCTGACGCGTTACGACTGAAATGCCCACAGGGATTCAGCAGCTGGCTCGGAAGAAAGACTGTGCTGGTGATAAAGATTTGCTGGTCATCACCATATAGAGGAATAAAAATGTCAGTGGTATGGGTTAGGTTACCAAGGGAAGTGTACCCTTGGCATTTCAGGCAAGGACTCCCTACCCCCAGAGAAGAGTATTCCTGTGAAGGAGACAAAGGAGAATAGAAAAGGTAGGGTAGCATTTCAAGAAAGAGAGTGGGGTTAACAGAGTCTCTCTCATCACAGAGAAATAAATTAAGGACTAAAACTTTTTACATTACTAACTTAGAACAATTTTGGAAGAATGGTAAAGACAGAAATTGGACTGATGTACATTGAGGAGTGTGTAGATGGGAGAAGGGGAGCTTGTGAGGATAGGGGAATTAAAATACATGACCTACAACCACCTTTCTGCCTTAATGTTTTATCACTCTAGGAATCTGAATCAGTTCTTAAAAGAGAACAAAATTGTAACAGGCTAAGTTGCACTTGATTGTCATTATCACATAAAGACAACATCTCTACAGTTGTCTTTGCAAGTTAGCTCTGCATTTAATAGCCTACAAGCTGGTAGGCTTGTAGGTGCCTGTTTTGTTTGGTATTTGTTTTGTTTTTGTTGCATCATTTGCATTGTTCCAGCAGTTCACGCTGTTATAGTGACTTAAATTTCTAATTTGTTTTCATCAGTAGAAAGGATGGTACCACATTATTTTGAAGCACTCTTAAAAAGAAAAAATAGCATGGAAAATGCACTAGTTCTACAAATTGGAACTTTCGTTTTTGTTTTTAAGATTGGGTTATTAAGGATTGCTTCTAAAACTTTTTTATTTCTCTCTCTCTTGAATCCCAGGTATTGCAATTTCAGAGGAACTCGATAAGGTACGTTGAACCATCTAATGAAAATAAAATATAGAACTTACATTTTAATCCATTGTCTAAATGAAAGAGTTTCTGAAACATAAAGTGTTCAAATGTAATTTATTTGGTGCTAACATTTTAAAACTTTCAAAGTTATATGCTTTAAGAAAGTTATTGCATGAAATATATAATATCACCTGTTCTTTTGAGTTGAGAGTTTTAGAATTTGGTTAGAGAAAGCTGAATCACTGTAATCACTGAATCACTATATTAAAAATGAAAACTAATATGAACTATTTGGATTCTGCCTGTATCTAGATGATGATGATGATCATGGTGATATGGAAGACACTTGTACTTTTCTATAGCTACCCATTAGAAACCTTACTCAGTCAGATTTTTTTTTTTAATTCCAAGATGCCAAGGGAATATCATGGTGCCTTGGACTGGGGTGATAGTTGTGAAGGTGGTGAGAAGTGATATGATTAGGAATATATTTTAACAGTAATGTCAGTGGAACTTGCTAATAGATCAGTTGTAGAAGAAATCAGTCAGTGATGATTCCTAGGTTTGGGAGATGAGCAAGTAGGTGAATTGTGGTGCCACTTGACAGCATTGGAGAACCTGGGGAAATAGGACATTCGGCAGGTTGGGGTGGCGTCAAGATTTCTCTTTTGAATTGTTTAGTTTGAGTTGTCTATGAAACATATTTATATGAGTTCTTGCTCATGAGTGAGATTTGATTTAGAGTTATACATTTAGGAGTCATTGAAATAGAAGTTCTCATTTTTTTGGTCTTAGGACCCCTTTATACTCCTAAAAATTATGTAGAGGACCCCAAAAGCTTTAATTTATATAGGTTTCATTTATCAGTATTTGCCATGTTAGAATTTAAAACTGATAAAAATTTTACATGTTTATTCATTTTAAAAATAGCACTGATAAAACCATTTCACAAAAATAACATTTTTATGAAAAATACTTTATTTTCCAAAACAAGATATTTGTGAGAAAGTGGCATTGTTTATACATTTTTGAAAATAATCTTTTTACTGTCTGGTTTAATTGAAAATTTTAGATTTTCATATCTGCTTCTGCATTCAGTCTGTTGTGGCTGAAAAAAAATCTGACATCGTATTGGAAAAAAGAGAAGCACCTAGAAATAGCCATCAGTATTTGGTGAACATTGGTCCAGATGTCTCTCTAAAGAGAAAACATATTGAAATTTGGCTTGGTGCCTAGATATATAGGTAGAAAGAAAGTGATATATAGGTAGAAAGAAAGTGCAAAACATGGGATTATATAAGTCATGACATTTTAAAATAATAAACTATAAGGTAATAATTATAATTTACAAAAGCAATAAAGTTAGTATCCTTCTATTCCAAATAGGACTATACCTTTTGAGTTTCATACCCAAAAATACATTTCTGATTCACTAAATAAATGAAATTTATGAATGTACTTTTAAATATGAATTGATAGGCCTTCCCTGGTGGCACAGTGGTTGAGAGTCCGCCTGCTGATGCAGGGGACATGGGTTCGTGCCCTGATCCGGGAAGATCCCACATGCCGCGGAGCGGCTGGGCCCGTGAGCCATGGCTGCTGAGCCTGTGCGTCCGGAGCCTGTGCTCCGCAACGGGAGAGGCCATGACAGTGAGAGGCCTGCGTACCACAAAAAAAAAGAATTGATAAACCATCCTAATATTTTAAAATTATTTAAATTTCAATCTGTACTATGTGCAAAACCAGATTCTGACTATATACCATAGCAAGTAGAATAAGTGGCAGGTGAGGTCTTCCAGCTTTGTCTTGCTCTTCTAGTCCTCTGCTGTCCATCACTGTCTTTGCCCCAGCTCGTCTCCTCCTTGTACCGTGACTTTCCTTATAATTTGCAGAAATTTAATAATCCCTGTCTTGTATTTATTTTTTGTGTTCATTCTAAGTGCAAAGACATAATTATCACTATTTCTGGGTTCATTTTTTTGCTCCTTCCAGTATATTCTGCAAAGCCCTGCCTGCCTGAGCCATAAATTAGCTTGTGAGACTGCTTGGCCCTTGTCCTTCCCTTTTTTTCCTGGGCTCTGACTTGCAGCCTGGTTAGTATCTACGTCAGCCTTATTTTTTGGTGAGCTAAAGGACATACTAATTGTTCTTTGAACTGAAAATGTATTTCACCTTCATTGGATAAAAATGTGGAAGCCTTGACACTTGGTTAAATATCATCCTTAGGCTACATCCTCCCCCTTCTCACCTCCTCTCTTCTAAGCACTAGCTCAGGGGAGTTTCCATTTAACTAAGTTGCATAAACTGCAGATTTTCACTACTTACCTAATGTTCCCATTTTTGAAGACTCTGTGGAAATTGCTGAAATTTATTACGTATTTATTATTTTTCAATAGGAAGATGCCAGCTATTGTCATAAATAAGCTTTTATTGAAAAAAATTATGTCAGTGCAAAAAGATTGTTCCCACTCTCACATCTGATATTCAGGAGTGCAAAGTTATACAGAGGACACACAGGCTTCCAGAGCCAAAGCACCATCCTTTGCCTGCCCCTTGGGGGAGAGGGAGAGCCTGCCCCATGGCGCCGTCTGCTGACCATGAAGCTCACAATCTTGCATTTTTCTCGCTAAGAAAATGTGAATCTCAGGCTGGTACTAAAACTGTAGTCAAAAAGAATGATTTAAAAACTCTTAGAGGAAAACATAGGAAGATCACTCTTTGACATAAATCACAGCAAGATCTTTTTTGACCCACCTCCTAGAGTAATGGAAATAAAAACAAAAATAAACAAATGGGACCTAAGGAAACTTCAGAGCTTTTGCACAGCAAAGGAAACTATAAACAAGACGAAAACACAACCCTCAGAATGGGAGAAAAAATTTGCAAACGAATCAGCGGATAAAGGATTAATCTCCAAAATATATAAACAGCTCATGCAACTCAATATTAAAAAAACAAACAGCCCAATCAAAAAATGGGCAGAAGACCTAAATAGACATTTCTCCAAAGAAGACATACAGATGGCCGAGAAGCACATGAAAAGCTGCTCAGCAGCACTAATCATTAGAGAAATGCAGATCAAAACTACAGTGAGGTATCACCTTGCACCAGTTAGAATGGGCATCATCAGAAAATCTACAAACAACAAATGCTGGAGAGGATGTGGAGAGAAGGGAACCCTCTTGCACTGTTGGTGGGCATGTAAATTGATACAGCCACTATGGAGAACAATATGGAGGTTCCTTAAAAAACTAAAAATAGAATTACCATATGACCCAGCAATCCCACTACTGGGCATATACTCAGAGAAAACCATAATTCAAAAAGACACATGAACCCCAATGTTCACTGCAGCACTATTGACAATAGTCAGGTCATGGAAGCAACCTAAATGCCCATCGACAGACGAATGGATAAAGAAGATGTGGTACATATATACAATGGAATATTACTCAGCCATAAAAAGGAACGGAATTGGGTCATTTGTAGAGACGTGGATGGACCTAGGGACTGTCATACAGAGTGAAGTAAGTCAGAAAGAGAAAATCAAATATCGTATATTAACACATATATGTGGAACCTAGAAAAATGGTACGGATGAACCAGTTTGCAGGGCAGAAATAGAGACACAGATGTAGGGAACAAACGTATGGACACAAAGTGGGGAAAGCGGCAGGGGGTGGGGCTGGGAGTGTGATGAACTGTGTGATTGGGATTGACATGTATACACTGATGTGTATAAAATGGATGAGTAATAAGAACCTGCTGTATAAAAAAATTAAATTTATTTTAAAAAAAGAATGATTTAAATGGTGTTGAGCTGACACCTGTGTCTTTAATATAGTAATAAAAATCAATACAGCTTCTTCCTTTTAATCTTCCATTAACAATTTTGGGGGCTCACTAAAGATCTGCTTTTCTTAACCTTTATAAAATACTGATCTTTAACTGTCATATTTGAATTGACTTATTATTTCACTGAAGTTATTTTTTCTGTGACTTTTAAAGTTAGTTTATGAATTCTGATAAAGGTAATAAGAATTATTAATTCTACTTAAGATGGAAAAATAAAACAGAAGCTAATGTTATTTTTAAGGCTCTTTTAAAAATTGTGAGACTTCAATAAATGTCTTATTCATTAGTCTTTTCCTTTCCCTTTTCTTAGCCATCGTATTGTTTTCTACTGCTGTTCTAACAAATTGAAACAGCACCAATTTATTATCATACAGTTCTGTAGTTTAGAAGTTAAACCATGCGCCTTCCTGGGTTAAAATCAGGTGTAATAGGGCTTCATTCCTTCCTGAAGTTCTAGGAGAAAGGTGTTACCTTGCCTTTTCCACTTTCTAAAGGCTGCTGCATTCCTGGTGCATGGTCCCTTTTCTGCATCTTCAAAACTAGCAGCAGTGTCTCATTTCTCTCTAAGTGCATCCCGGAAAAGCTGTCCACTTGTATGAAATCCCGTGATTAGTTTGGGGCCACCCAGCTAATCTGGATAATCTCATTTTAGCATCTTTAACCTTAATCATGCCAAGCCCCTTTTGCCATGTAATGTAACATATTTAGAGGTTTGGGGATTGGGATGTGGACATCTTTGGGAAGAGCCATTATTTTACCTACACAGCCACTATCCAAGCTCAGATGGGATTACCTTTCATATCTTTATCTAATTCTTCAGGCTCCTGCCATTCTGATTCACCCTTCAAAATGCCATATAGTAAGCCTGGCTGGTTCCTGCTCGGTTACCCTTCAGTAGGGCAGTGTGACCCATCCTTCAACTCCTGTGAATATTGGGTGCTTATGGACTCACCCTTCTCCAGAGGATGGTTTCAACTCAATGGGAGCCATCCTGCCCAGAGATGCCTGGGTTCACCATCAACCAATGACTGACTAAAATAAGACTGAGTTGTCATTTAACATTGCAGAGCTCCTTATGGGGTAGGCTGAGAGTAGACTTTAGCTGAACCCATATCTTTGCCTAGCTTCTTCCCGTCTTCTCCTGCTTCCTTTAGTCTCTT